AATCTGATCACGCCCGTCACTCCAACAACCCTCGCTCTACTTTCGGGGTGTTCTATCACGTCTTCAACCACGAACACCCACTCTCGGAGCCTGAAAGATTTACTGAATGCCAAGCTGACATGGCGATTCACCAGCTCTGCGTTTGACCTCTCTTGACATGGCTTTGCTACACCGAACTGGCGCACTTTATCCCAGCCTAAATAAGAGTTTGGAGTAGGATTGTTTTGGTTTTAGAATGACCAAATACCAGCTGAAGGGTACTCAATACTCAATAAACCCTCGTCACATTCTCCTTTCTGCCTGTACTGAGCTGCCCATTTCTAGTGTTATTGACAATGTACATGTAGAGCAAGCCCCGCCGAGGAGCCTTCCCCCCTTCCCTCCTCCTCATCAGGGCTCCCGATTATGGCATTGTTATTTAAAGGGAGCCCTCCTTAACCATAAATAATGGCATTGGGCAGCTAGTGCCATCACATACATTATGTCATGCACTGCGAACAAATAATAAATAAGAGCATAATGTAAAGCAAACCAACACCATGTTAATAAATAGCGAGTGGCCTCGTCTACAGTCTGAGCTGACCAATACTCACCATTTTGGCTTAAGAACAGCAGTATTTCTAATGTAATAGGCTGCAAGCTGTGGCGCTCTTGCCCGTACGTCGTCCTGACGACGCTAAAGAACATCTCAACAAGGTTAGAAGTAGGTGGAATGCAGCTAAGCAGGTCGTACCGCGGCTGAACTGCTGCTAAACCGCGACGTTTTTGTAGACTCGCCACGAATGATCCTTCATCTCCACTGTCTTCGGCTTCTGCTGCAGTGCGTGCAGGTTTTTCTTCCTCTTCCAGGCAGCCGAAGGGCTGCAGCACTGCCTTATCGGCTTTCGTTAGTCTTTGGCTCCCTCCCAGGACAGGCACACACGCCGACTCGAAGTCTGGGCTGTGCACAATGTCCGCGCGTGGTTCTGTGTCACACAAATAAATTTGTTAATAAATCAGCGTGTTAGTAGAATAAAAAACATAATAACGTACCAAGAAACCTTGCGTAATGTGGTCTTAGGGCAATTAATCCGTCGGACCACACACGCACGTCCAGCAATGTTACACATCTAGCTTGAAGTGCCTTAGACACGGACTCAACCTTTTTTTTAGGTCTTTTAGCTGCAAAAGAAGACGCTTGTTACAGGATGATGCGGGGAGGACGTCCACAATGTCGTCGCCCGTGGGGTCGAGGTGCTCCAGAAGCTTGAAATACCGGTGAACCATGCTGAACGTTGAGCTCCATCGTGTGTCCTGTCGAATTATAGGACGGAGGGAGGTTTTCGACCTGCAATATATAAAGCCATACAGAATAAAACATATTAAGTTAGCAACACATTTTACAAATAAATACCAAAAATAGTAATTACATGAGTTTAGCCGACTGCTTGAGTGTACGTAGGCGCACCATCAGAGCTTGAACACCGGATAGGTCGTCTTCATACTGCATATCAACTTGAACTGCCCTGTTCAGACGATGGCTAGCACAGCCAACGAGCGGCACGCTAATGAGCGTCGCTAGTAGCCGGTTAATGGCACAGTTGTCCCCTACAAGAAACAAACAGGCATCCAGCTGCAAACTAAAGTCGCGGGGCAGCATTCCAGCTAGGAACTCGTAGTGTCCGCGCGCAGAGAGATCTTCGTTCGGCTCGCTCAGCAGTGGTGCCATACACAGGAGCGGGGTCTTTACGACGCCGTCCACCTCGTAGCAAGCAAAGACGGCGACAAAATGCTCCGACGCGTGGCTCCAGCCGTCCAGGATGAGACCAAATCGCTGAGACATCTCGGACGCGATGTGACGCTCCACAATCCGAGTGAGACTTTCCATTGCTCGCTGAAGTGTCTCGACACAAATCGGGTCCAAATTAGAGTATCTGAGTAGCACAAAATTTAGTTAGCCTAAATAAAATCTACATATCTAAATCTGGCTAAACGATGGTTACCTTCTAGCAGCGGCATTCTCACAGAAGTGGAGTGGGAGACCGTTCTTGACAATCCAGTCGAGCCAGCCAAATATGTTGAGGGCTGACCGACGGACGTAGTCTAGCAGCGAGCCTGTCTCGGCGGTAGCTGCAGTTAGCACAACAGCCTTGAAGTCCGGGTGTTCCCGACGGACGTGCTGCATTAGGTTGGAGTAGCCACTTCGGCGAGTCTGCTTCCGAATCGTGTCACAACGACAGCGGAAGTACCCCGAGACGATCTCGTCCTCGGCGGGACGGCACGGTCGGAAGTAGAGCCCAGTAACCTGGGCTGGCGTGAAGGTGGCGTGGCGGGGGAGCGTGGCAAGGACCATAGTAGCTTAGCGAGGGGCTTTGTTCGAGCTGCTTAAATTAAAAATGAGGACGTGAGCAAGCTGTGTCGTATAGCTGGCTTAGAGAAGTGCTGGTAGCAGAGAGTTTAAGTAGTGAAAAGTCATGATTGGTTGTGAGAAGTACATAATGATAAAGATGGTTTTTTTATAAATTATGTCGGATGATTCTTTAAGCAAATAAACTATAAAAAACATCCAGGTAATCGAAGAAATAATATATTTATGATTTCATTAGAAATAATTGAAAAGATCATGCCATAATCGGGAGTCCTGCTCCTCACACACGCAATCAGAGTACCCCTAAAGT